TTGTTTCTCGAGGTCTCCAGAATGTCACTTTATGAGACCATCTGTTGGTGTCTTGTCTTGCTACATGTGCTACCCATTGCCATCTCAATGTCCGCTATTTTTCCCATGATGTCGGTTACTTTAGTTCTTCGACGTATTTCGGTTGTGAGGAATTTTGTCTCTGAGGCTTATATTTGACAAGGCCCTCTCCATGGCCCGTTGAGTTACTCTTAATTGTTCTGCCATTTTTCTTGTTATTGCCATAGTTTCCAATCCATAAGTTGCAACTGGTAGTATACAAGTGTCATAGGTTTTTCGTTTTAAGTGAATAGGGATTTTTCTGTCTTTTAAAATGAAGCTCAACTTACCAAAAGCAGCCCATGATAATTGTGTCCTTCTTTTAATTTCTAGGGTTTGATTTTCCTTTTCGTTTTTAATTGCGTGTCCTAGATATATAATATATATATATATATATATATATATATATATATATATATATATTATATATATATTATATATATATGTATAGATATATATATATTATATATATATATATATATATATATATATATATTGTTCTACCTTTTCTATATTAATGTTATCTATCGTGATCTTTCTAGGCTGTTGCTTAATATCTTTGTTTTGTCGAGATTCATTTGTAATCCTATTTGATTCGATTTGTGATTTAAATCTTGTATAGCATTGATATTAGTTCATGGATATATGTGCTTATTAGTACTATGTCGTCTGCAAAACGCAAATGGTTAAGATATTCTCCATCTATTTGTAATCCATTTTCGGCCCAATTTAGTTGTTTGAAAACATTTTCTAATGCCAAAGTAAATAACTTGGGTGAGATGGTGTCGCTCTGTCTCACACCTTTGCCAAGGTCTATTTTCATAATTTCCAGATCATCATCTATTTTTACGTGAAAAGTAGCATCATCGTTTATATTCTTAAGGAGGGCAGCATATCTTGAATCTACTCTGGCGACGTCCAATGCTGTTAAGAAAGCCCATTTCTCGATACTGTCGAATGCTTTGTGATAATCGACAAATGCCAGATGTAGTGGTATGTTGTACTCTATTGTTTTTTCAATAATGGTCCGAATTGTTTGCAAGTGATCGATAGTGCTAAAACCCTTACGAAGGCCTGCTTGCTCTACTGGTTGGTATGCATCTAGTTTAGCTGTCAATCTATTTGTTATTATTCGGGTTAGTAGTTTGTAAAGGTGTGACAATAAGCTTAATGGTTAGTAGTTTTCTATATTTGCGGCATCCCCTTTTTTATAGAGTAGAATAACTTCCGCATTTTTCCATGTCTTCGGTATTTGTCCTTCCAATAGGCATTTATTAAGTAATGCTCTTATTGCCTCTTCTAATTCAGTGCCTCCCATTTTTAGCATCTCTGAAGTAATTTTATCTTCTCCTGGTGTTTTCCCATTTTTCATTTGTTTTAGGGCGGCTTTAATTTCTGATGTTATTATTTCAGGGAAGTCCTCTGTGCCCACATTTAAGATATGTTTTGTTGGTATACCGGGGTTTGGAATAGTAGAAGTATACAGCTTCTCATAAATTTTCGGATTTCTCTAACGATCTCCTCCTTATGCGAGCACAATGTTCCACGGTCGTCTTTTATCTTTATAATTTTTATTCCTGCCAGTGGATTTACATGCTGAGGTCTTTTCGAATATTTTTCTTAACGCTTCTGTTGAGCGCTTTATAGTCCGGGTTATCTCTGTTCGTTCTTCTTTTTTTCTCTATCTGTTCTAGAGTTTCGGGTTTTAGTTTAGCTTCCTTTTGTTTTCTTATTCTGCAACAAAGTTTCTTAGTGACTGTTTGTATGTCTTTAGTTATCTTCTCAGCTAGTTCAGATTTAATTTCAATAGATTTAATTTCAGAAATATTATTTTAAAAGTTATTTATATGTAAATAATGACCAACTCTTATCGGATGTATTTAACCGATATTTTCATCGATAGACTCTACGTACACAACGAATGGGCCAGTGTCACACAAGCGATATCGTATGTTTTTATCGTAATGTTTTCTGATTGGACTTGGATCATTATCATTTTAATAATCGTTTGTTATTGGAAACGACTCACCAGATAATAATATAGTTGTTCCACCAGGATCACCAATCTCCTTTCTAACTAGTTCCATTTCACAAAATAAACTTTGTCTTCGCCACTATTTCGCTCCGTGCGTGACCATGGTAGGGATACATTGAAACGATGCCAGCGTGCGTAGCGGCGAAATATGACAAAATGGGAATATTGGACAAAATATTTTTACGCATAAATTTTATCAAAAATGCGTGCAAATACACGTTGCGTATTTAATTGTGCTAATAATAGCAAAAATGGTGATTGTAGTTTTCATAGGTTACCAAAAATTACATATAAATTAGAAAAAAGAAAAAGATGAATTCGTGCTATTAATATGAAAAAGTAAATATCACATAGTTTCATTTTTATGCAATTGAAATAGAAAAAATTTAAATAATTTACCTTGAATGATATTTCATAAGGCTACAAGCTAACTGCAGATGACTTTAGCTTTTATATCCTAACTTTTACTATTATTGTTTTTAATTATATGCTCTTTTGCGTGAAAAACTTGATTTGCCAGTACTAGATTTTTCCCTTTCTTTTCCGTTTGGAGTTGAAAAGGTATATTATGATGAATTTTGAGAAACCCAGTTTTTAATACTACATTTATTTTGTACATAAACTTTAAAATATAGCTAAAAAACTAATTTATTAATAATTGTCAATTTCGCATGTATTTAACAATGTCAAACATATGTCATAAGTTTAACCTGAAAATTGGGATTCCCAAATTGTCAGATGAAGGCGGTAGGTGTCGCATCAGTCACGCACGGAGCGAATACTTATCGTAAATACGTCTACTCTCGTTAAAAGCTTAGACGGAACTGACAAATTTATTTATTTATTTTCATTTATTTGCCCATTGTACATCTTTCCTCCAAGGCAATAGTATAGATATTACTTTGAAGCCACGCCCACGTAGAAAAAATAATGATAAAAATTAGCCCTAAGATTAAAAATTAATTAGGAGAAATTTGTTTATTTTACAAAATTAAGCCCAAGGCTACAAAAACAAAATATATATACATAGGAAGAGTCAAAAACGATGAACTTAACTTAAAAAATGGAAAAGTAATTTCATCATATTCCGAATATATTTAATTTGGGGCAAAGATGAAAAGAAATGGACATGTACAAACAAAAATCAAAGAAAGAATTATAAAAGTTAAAAATAATAGGACACCCTAAACTTACTACTTTGGTCAAAAAATAGCTATCAACAGAAATAGATACTGCTATATAACAGTTTGTTTAAAAGCGGTGTACTTTATGAATGTGAAACCGGGCAACTCATCAAGAAAAAGAACAAAAACTCCTTGTTCTGGAAATGTATTTTTGAAACATATTACCAGGTATATTCAGAATGATGCACGTAACAAATGAAGAATAAGACAAATCATAGAGAGAACAACCACCATCAAATAAGAAATACAGCAAAAACAGCTTATTTGGTGCTGGTATGTACAGAGAATGACAGACCGTCGCGTACTGAAGTTAATACTTGATTGACTTAAAAGCGGGGAAAACCAAAAACAACATGACTTGATGGAGTCCAAAACTGGGTCATGGCAGTGAGAAGCCTGTCAATGTCAAACCAAGACACTTGGTTGGTAGGTGTAAAAGAAGACACGAAAACAGAAAGGCGCATGACGCTTTAAACTAGACATTATGTATAAACTTAAATTTCCACGTTTAGTTTGGTTACATTAAGTTTTAGACGTCCTCTTTGAAAGTCGTCATCAGGGTCAGGGAGAAGTTTCTATATTGAAGAGCTGCAATTGAATCAGAATTTTTGAACGGAAATAAAATTTTCAGAGATTCTGTTGTGGCTTTTTTCGATTGGTTTTTCCTATTTGCACAACTTTGTGTTATTTGTTTGGGATATTGTCTTTAACGAATGAGACAAGCGATTAAAATTTTTGTCGAGTAGTAAATATTATCTCTATTCCCTTTTGATTAAGAATTTTATCGATTTTGTCAGTGATATTTTTGGTATAAGAAAGTTAAAGATTGAGATTAAACCGGAAAATACCTGCCTGTGGATGATATGATATGATGTTTGCGGTAACCAGTTTGGGTTAGGGCTTATTTTAAAGAAGATATTTCTGTGGATTTATTTGAATTGTCTTTTGGTATGGTATTAATGGTATTAATTAATTAATGTTATTAATGACCGACTTAATTTAGTAATGTTGGTAATGAGTATTGGTCTTGGTATTGATTTTTTTATAAGGACCTCGAGGAACAGTTAAGATGAATTAGTTTCCAACTCCAGCATAAACTGGATACAAGGATGTATATCATTTAGATGGGTTTGAAATGATACAAAAGCGTCATTGCTGCGGGACCAAATGACAAATATATCATTAATATATGTCAGTCATATAGGTTTCAGAATGGATTAGAATACTAATTTGTTTTTTAAGCATTTCACGAAGCAGTTGACAATGAAAAAGAGAGTAGTGGATTGGGGTACCATTTACTTATCTGTAGTATTAATTTAGGAAGATAAAATAACTGTTGGGCATGCAATGTTTAATGACAGATAAAATGTTTTTGCTCAATATTGTATTTAGTTACTAGAATATCTGGGGTTTGGCCTATAATAATGTTTATGAAAAGTCAAATGATGTCTAAACTAACTATAATGTTTGAATCCTATTGTTTGAGAAGATTCTAAAAAACGAGTTTTGGATGAAGTAAAAAGTATTTTCGGCAGCGGGTTTTGGCCAAGTATTTTGCCAATTGTTGCATAGGACAATTCGTATTTACTTTACAATTAGGTAAAACATTCATACTTGACAGAACCATTGACATAACTTTTAATATAATAAAGATAACTATGATAATATCATCTTCGTAAACAAAGTAATATTTGAATTTTGTTAAAAAAATGTTTTTATTTCAGGTATTTACTGGTGCGGCAACATGTTTTTATGCCTTTATCGGCTTTGACATTATAGCCACTACAGGAGAAGAAGCAGCGACGCCGAAAAAATCTATTCCATTAGCTATAGTTTCCAGTTTAGCTATAATTTTAATAGCCTACGTTACAAGTTCCATGATGATAACTCTTATAGGTAAGGTAAAAAATATTATAAATGGGATTATAACAACTTCCTTTATGGGATTGTTAGATGTTCCCATATAAAGCTATAGTACACTCCTATAAGTATGCTATAAACCCCTAGGAGTTATTATCACCTTATTTACAGTTTATTTGGTATTGAAAGGAAGTTATAAACTTTAAATATGACAGCAATACCTACAAGTGATATAATTTTATGGTTTTAGAAACGTTTGCAAATTAATTTGACAAATTTGTTTATCAGTATTTCGTGTACAATCCGGTCAAAAATATGACTTGATTTCAACGGTCTTATTATTATTTTAATTAGGCAACGTTTATTGTTCAAGCTACAATATTGAAAAGTTGGAAAAGAATTTCTTTTGTTAAATTGTGAAAATGATCTTTTGCTTATTATGTTTAATTTTGTGTAATTTGAAGACAGTACATTCGAATACGTATTCATTTCGTTTATTAAACCCATATCTGAGCACTTATTTCTTAGATTTCTTCAAGTGGTATCATTTTCTTGGAATTTTTTTTAACATCCAATGTTTATTACAATCTGTCTCATTACAAACAATAAGCAATATGTATAATCTATGTACAATAACATAGTGACAAAAAAAAAACAAAATTTAATACAGATAAACAACACGAACAACAAATATGAGTATTAAAAGTCTAAAGTGAATCAAGATTCTTCAGATTAACTATAGGTATAAAGGATCGTTTTTATATGTAGTAGTATGAAGTATTTTATATGAACTATCGAAGAAGTTTTTATATGTTGGTATTATTGGCAGAAGTTTTTTCTCCAGGCTAAATGTTCTTGATTTTCGACTTATGTACCAATATATTTTCCTGTAGATTAAGATGAGTTAAAGGCGTTTCTTCCAGATGTGGATGTCCTAATTAACTTTGCTATCCAAGTGCGTAGTGGGGTTGTTTATAGAAACTGGTGACCTTTTATTATTATAAACGTTATTTGTGTTGACTTTAAACTGATAACTTTCGACTGGCCGTGGTCATTGTGACCAATCTTGAATTTTCATGTTATTTTAGAACTTTAATAGCTGCCTCTGCTAAAATTTGTTTTTGATTTTGTGTTTTTCTCCAGTTTGTTTTTTCATATACTCTACATTATTTCTTTGCGTATGTTGATAATGCTTAATAGACTTTTGAATTGCACTGATTAAGGAACTGTTGAGCGTGTTACAGTATAATTTAGACTTTTTTGAGAGCATCAGGTTTTTGTTGCGTTTTAATGTCTGTTATATAGATTAAAAACTGTTGTCCTGTTTGCATTGTTTCTTTCTTCTTCTTCTTCTTCTTCAAGTGCCATCTATGCGGCAGAGGTCGGCAATCATCATAGCTATTTACACTTTTGAGACGGCTGCTCTGAATAGTTCATTTGGTGTACATCTGTACCACTGTCTCAAGTTGCGCAGCTATGACATTCTACGCCCTGTGCTTTTATTTTCTTGGATCTTTCCCTGCATAATCAGTTGGAGCAAGGTGTATTTCTCTTCACGTGTAATATGTCCGAGATATTCCAATTTTCATGTTTTAATTGTTTGTTTTTAAGTTACTGTATTTGTTATTTCTGATGTTTTTAGTAACAACAAATACAGTACGGGGTTTGTCTACATGACAGAATACCTAATGCTACTATACGCAAAAGATCATGGGTAGCAAACGTTATTGAAAGAATCACAACGCTAAAATAAAACTCGGTAGATTGTGTAGCAACAGTAGTTGATGATTGGTGGACAAAAAGAATTTTGGAGTGGAGACCCCGCATACAAGCTAACAAAAACAGAGGTCGACCTCCGACGAGATGTATCGATGATATAAAAAGAGTGAGTACAAGTTGGAATCAGATGACAAAAAATCGGAATAATTGAAAAACATACGAGAGGTCTATTTTTGGTAGTAGAAGTTGGAGACTTGATGATAACGAAGCTGTTTTCATTCCAAAATTTAGATGGATTGCTTATTTTTATTTTTATACACGCGCGACATTTTTCAGTCCCACACAAAACGAGCACATCTGTACACATACATAAATAATATGCATCTATCAAATACATAAAGAATATGTATTTGGCAGAATAACTAAGAAGAAATCAATAATAAAAATGTATTTTGGCATATATTTGCAAGAATTAATGACTACGGTGCGCCTTCGTCCGGCTAGGATTTCTGAAAGTTAACTTTGTTGTAATAAATTGATAATTATTGTGAAAGTAAAATAACTACAATGACAGTTCTATATATTGTTACAATTTTATCGGTAGATACTCAAGTCCTCATCATCCGGTTCTATTATTAATATTAAAAATTTTTGGAATAAAAAAAATAGCCTCTAGTAGCTTCCTCATTTTGTCAGACTTGGTACAGAGGTAACGATATATTAGGCAATATTTTGTATATTTGGCCAAGTGTCTGATGAGGCTGGGATAGGCCGAAATGATTCATAACACTTTATTAATACCGATTCGAGCACGGGAAGTTTAACGAATTTGTCCTCCTAGGCCATATATTTGGAAATTTAATTCAACAAAGCGGTAGCAGCTTTTGCAAGAAGATTTAATCTGCTAGCAAATATATATATATATATATATATATATATATATATATATATATATATATTATATATATAGTTACTATAGAAATATAATTTTTAGTTCCGTATACCGAAGTTGACGAAGATTCGGCGCTTGTGGAAATGTTTGGACAAGTGGGGGCATACAAATGCAAGTATATAGTGGCTGTTGGGGCTCTCGCCGGCCTTACTGTGAGCATGTTTGGTTCAATGTTCCCTATGCCTAGGATAATATATGCCATGGCCCAAGATGGACTAATATTTAGGTAAGCAGCTGGAATTTAAATTTGTTTAGTTAATTATTATTTAGTAAACATCTTAAATCAATGCTGGTCCAATGAAAAAGACTATTCAGTTTGATATATTACATAAAACTACACAGCCAAGAAGTGCCTGTTAATATATGTTGTACTTTTGAATGTCTGTTAGAAATAAAAACCGATACTACAAATTTTATTACTTAAATAAGAATTAAAATTATTGATATTTCATAATGACCGGGCATATAAATTTTCAAACATCCTGTATAAGAAATAAATATGTATTTTAAGTTGTTCAAAGGAATTGTTCATTAGCCTGCCTCAGAGACAAGACTTTCAAATATTATCGATAAGAATTTAAAATAAAGTCGGTTATTGTGAAATGGATTTACCGTAATAAAAGTGTATATAGAAGTGTTTAAAACAATAACCGGGATGTGCGGTGGTTTTTCCCCCCGAAGATTATATCGGTAAATAGTTTATTAACAAAGACATTGAATGAGAAACAGGTATCGTTTGTAGCTATTAGTAAGAAATATTTGTAAAGCAGATAGATTTAGTTAGAATAATTAAAGAATGTTTGTTTTCTGGAATTAACCCGAATGAACGTTTTTAATAGAGAGAGTTGGTTGATAACGATATACGTCACCAGAGGTAGAAGATTTTTATTTGGTCAATTTTTGAATGCAAGGAGGGAGTGGGTTTTGGATATGACAGATAGGAGAGAGGGAAAGGAGTTAGTCAGTTTCGTCGCCCAAGAAGGAAGGAGCTTTGTGGTTTGTGTTTGGTTTGAAGTCCCGAAGACGTTAATTTACCGGGTGTGTTTATTTGCTGTGTAAAAAGCTGATCAGTGTGAGGAACGGGGTACAGAGAGATAGAAAAACCAAGGGTATAAAGAATATTAATATCAGACGAAGCCGGAAACAATTTGAAGTTATAAACAGCGCGCGGAGATTGGTTCAAACGGAGGCTGCATAGAATTACACGAGTTGTTGGGTTGCAGATACAAGGACAGATAGGGAGAAAGGTGTACGTCTTCTGGAACCAAAATATGGAGCAGAAAGCAGAGAAAGGTTTTTTTTTTTTATGGCGTGGCCATAGAATTGCAAACGGCAGATAACGAAAGGTCAGTCAATTTTCATTAGAGCAGGAGTGTGGTTTTCATGTATAAATTAAATAAATTGAATAAATAATAGAGACAGTTAATTTTGCGATCATTTAAAAAAAAAATTATAAAGAGAGCTTAGTTATAACACATATTAAAATCAATGTAAAATACATTTGGGTCCATGATAGAAAACAACTTCTCATATATTTAAAGTATTGTATTGCAAATATTACCGGATTGATTGTTATAATAAAATTTCAATAAAATAAAGGACATCTCACATATACTTCAGTTTGAAATTCTGTGTATTTTATTCAGGGTCATATTACCTATCCCAATTAGGAAAGCCAATTGGAAAAATATTTTGAATCCACGATCAAAGGTAACTAGTACAAGTTAAATAGCCTGAGATTGTAATTAATTAATGCTGATTGTTATTGTGATTAATTGGAGATTAGATCATTTAATAAATATAGACAGGATCTTTTCTAAATAAGCAATAGAATACAATTTTAAATAGCATAACAAAATGGCCCCCAACGTGTAAAGCTTTGAAAAATATTTCTAGTTGGCAAATTTGAAAGGATAGGAGTAGACGAGCAGATATTTGAAAGTTTATATGCCGTGGATAAAGTGAAATATTATGTAAAATTTGAGGACACTGAAGATTTATATTTTTTTTTAAGATACAATTTACCATAATTAATTTATTCTTGATATTGACAATTTAGAGGATACCATAATTGATTTATTTGTGTGATATATTACATTTGATAATTTTACCATACTTGATTTATTTGAATGAATTTTGACATTTGATATTTTACCATTTGATTTATTTGTGGGATATTGAAATTTGATACTCGTACTCAAGAGTTCTATTACATTTGAACAAGAAAAGTCCCGTTTGTTGCAACAGACCAGTAGAATTTTTATATTGGCGGGGACAAAACAACAAGTCGACCACAAGGAGTCAAAAGAACAATAGCAAGAAAGGAAAGAGAGAGATAACAGAGAAGAGGAAACAGATGTTTGAAGAAGGATCGGATAATGAAGGAAATGTTACAATAATAGAGGAAAGAAAAGAAACAGGGATGTTAGAAAATTATTGAGCAATGATGCAATTACAGACACAACAAATACAAGAAAACACAAAAAGAAACATCACTAAAAATCGAAGAAAACCAACGGAAAACAAGAAAGCAATAGAACAGAAATTAAGACAGAAAATGATAGAAAAAATGGGAAAAGCGTTTGGGACAAATATGAAAATGAAGTAAAAGTCTGTTTAGAAAAAGTTAGTGAAACAGAGAGGAAACTAGAGATGCAGAGAGAAGAAATGGAAACTAAAATGAAGGATATTCAGAGTATGCAAGAAAGGGAATTAGAACAGATAGAAATAAAATTTGAAAATGCGCTACAAGAAGACCGGAAAGAAACGGAAAGGAGATTTAAAACAAATTGCAGAGATGGAGATAAGGGAATAGAAAGAAAGGAAGTTATCGTACATAGCACAGAAGACGTAAAAGTACGATTTGGCGGGGATATAAGGAAACTACACCCAGTGCCTTTTATAAATTATCCTAAAGGAAAAAGTCAAATATATAGGACCGTTTGCAACAGCAAAGGAAACTATCAGAAACCATCTCAAAGAAGAGGCAAATCTTTGGTTTGTCAGCAAGGAAGAAGAATTTGACAATTGGCAAGATTTTGAGAGAAGATTCTTAAATTATTTCTGGGGAAAAATCCAGCAACTACAAGTAAATAAAGAGTTACAAAATGGAAAATACCATGAGGAGGATGGGCGTATCAGAAAAGATGTACGCATTACAACTCTATAATAAATGCAAAACATTTGCAATATAATTATTCATCAGAACAATTGGTAGAGTTGATATCGCGACACTTTGAAGATACCTTGGAAGACCACATAAATCTCCAAAATTACAAGGACATTGATAGCTTATGTCAATTTTTGCAAATGAGAGAATCACGTAGGCATGAAAGAAGAGGAAAGAAGACCGCAAGAAAATTATAGACAAAGAGAAAACAAGAATATAGAGATAGAGGGTCAAAATTTTAGAGAGAGATTATACAAGACGAGAATTCATACCTAGACAGGGATACGAAAATAGACCGAACGGAAGAGAGAATTATGAACCCAGAACCCAGAGATGGAATGAAAACAGGGATCGGGAAAATCAGAGTAGAAATAACCGCCCATACCAAGGAAACCGATACAATAACCCACGGAATGAACAGGAATCTCGCGGTAACCGATACGGGAATGATAGACCAAAAGAGACAGAAGAGAACAATAAATAATACCGCAAAGAGAAGAAAATGAATATGAGAGAGAAGATGACGGGCGAGAAAACACAGAAGAACAACAGGCGTGTTTTCAAGAAGGCGCTCACTAAAAACGAAGAAACAAACAGGAATTTTTATGTCACCCCCAAGGAATTTATTAAACTGGCAGGAAACAATGAAAAGAGAAATGGAGTTAATTTAAAATTTGTGGATGGATTTATAACATGAGAAACCAATTAAAATTATGATAGACACAGGCTCTGAAATAACACTGGTCAACAGAAAATTAATCGAAGAAGTAAATTTAACAAGTCTAATTTATAAAATACCTAGGGTGAATTTAGTGGGCGCAAATAAACGGACATTGGCAACAATAAATGAAGGTATACGAGTAATGGTACGATTGAAAAAAAATATGTATGCACTTCAATGTGTAATAATGCCGAAATATGTCACATGACATGATTGTAGGCGTTGACGAATTAACGGCAAAAACATGTAGTGATCGACTTCAAAACCAATACGATGAAAATAACAAAGGAAAAAGAAGAAGAACAGGATAAGGAACAAGAGAAACAAAATTACGTGACGAATCAGAGAAAGAACAAACGGTGGAAATGAACCTGGTGACGAACAAAGGAAAAGGAAGAAAGAGGGGAAAAGGTCAGAAAAAGATCAAAGAAAAAAAAACCTGGGATTCCTCAAAAGATGAGACGAGCTCAGGAGAAGAAGATGGGAAGATTTTGACAAGAAATTGAAAGCAAAACTTGGGATTCCTCAAAAGAAGAGACGAGCCAACAGAAGAAGAAAACAAAGGAAATGAAAGAAAAGGAAAAGGATTCAGTTGAAAAGAACATATGGGATTCCTCAAAAGAAGAGACGAGCCCAACAGAAAAAAAAAACAAGAGGAAAATGAAGAGGACACAATGGAGACAGTGGTGTTTGAAGAAGATACGGAAGTACACGGTGAATATGTGCGAAGAATTTGATGGGAGGGACAAAAAATTGATATGTGGAGAAGGCAAAGAAAAATGATTTGCGTCTAATTTTAAGAGACTAACGAAACGCTGATATAAATGAGGAAAACCGAGTGGCCACCAAAATACGGAGCACTCTTTGAGGTGAAAAACTTGGGAAATTTTCGATCGAAGACTTATCCAATTCCTTATAAGTATCGGCAAGAAGTAAAGCAAGAAATCAAAAAAATGTTGGAAGATCAAATCATTGAGAGATGTGACTCACCCTATATTAACCCAATTGTGATAGTGAAGAAGAAGCAGTGGAGAGTTAAGACTCTGTTTAGAATGCCCGAAATATCAACCAACACACAGTATCACAATATGAATCACCGTTAAATATCGAGGCCATTTTTGGAAGAATCACGGGATCACATATTTTCTCAAAAATTGATCTAAAGCATAGTTTTTGGTTAATACCTTTGGCTGAAAAGTGTAGAAACTACACTGCCTTTTCAATTGATGGTATAGGTATACCGATTTAAGGTAGTTCCGTTTGGATTAACAAAGCGCTTGTGCAGCACTTGTACGAGCTTTGCATACCATTTTGAATCACCATGAAGAGTTCATCG